TGTCTGTCTGTCTGTCAGATCTATACTCCGATCAAATTTAGTACTTATGCAGAGTAGCGTCTGCAGTATAACCCTCTCCAAACCTGAAAGTCTCAATTATAGGTGAATGACCCAGATAAAATGCAGATCATCGCAAACATTTGAGATCCATACCCTGGTTCGTCTTCTGTTGGGGGGGGGTCAGCAGAGCAGTCAGCAATTACGTTGCTTAGCACGCTAGAGTGAGCGTTATAGCGTAACCGTGGCACGAATACTTATTATTTCGTTCACCACACTGTTCACTGTTTACTGCTTCTGTGCAACCTGCAAAGAAGCTGGTCGTAGACTGCTGACCACGCTGTTCGATGGGCGTGCCTTACAACGGTTGCAGTTCGCTTTGACTCGACGGTCGATAAAATCAAATCAAATCAGCACAAGGTGTAATCGTAAATTTTTTTTACATTTCAATTAAAACACTCGATGGCGATTTCATATGATCATTCCATAAGTGTGGATTGACCATTGATGAGTGATGGGCAGTTCTTTCGTAAGGATATATGATTCGTTCCTGCTTCTCTTTGGCAAAATTTCCCGAACAAACTCCAGCAGAACAAGGTGTTTCAGTTTCAGACGCCAGTGCTGTACCGGAAGATTACTCCAGGGTTCGCGACCCTGTTCACAGTGACCAAAGTGAAATGCAAACTTATGCGTTCCGTCGTTCTTCGACTTGCTTTACAATTTAATACTTTTGTCGTTGCCCATTGTCTGCGACAGGGAAGCCAAGGTTGCATTCTAGAGAGCACAGTACTGCTTAGACAGGAGCAGGCCGTTCGAAAACGTCACCGCTTGATACTGCCTGATTTGAGGTGTTCTTAATTACGGTAATATTTATGCTTTGAATGCTTAAAGCAGTGTAAACAGTACTGTAAACGTTTTGTGTCTGGTTTTGATTGATATCAGTGACTGATTTGAGAAAAATCCGGCAGAACGAGAGATTTCCGTTCTCCTACCCGATTCGGTTCTGAAGTGCGAATGCGAGTTCCTGTTTTCGGTAAGCGTCAATCATCGGTCACTTGCCCCAGCGTCGAGGAACCACTGACCACGGTCTGTATTTAGATCAGCTCGTTCGTCAGCAAGTGCGGAGTACCGTTTGACGTGTCCGACTTGCCGGTGGCAGACAGTAACCTGCCCGGCATAACGTTCGTCACCAGATGCAACAACGTGGTCGACAGCGGCTGCGCCGAGAGGGCGCCAGGTACGTGGCTCATGGGTCGTTGTAGTTCTGCTTTACCATTTGCTGCTTTTAGTTATCTTTCCCTCTTGCGCTGTAAGGAGCTTCAATTACACGGTAACTGAGAGCTCGCCCGATTCACAGAATGAAACTGTGAACATCACATGGATTACTCAGTCCTCCAATTCAGTCACTAAACACCTGCCCATTTTGTACTATTTAGTAAAGTATGACCAGATTGATGCAGACAGCCAGGATCAGCCCGTCTTCATTCCGAAAATCATTAAACAACTCGGACGCCTAAAGGTGTGCCATCGCTTCTCTCTTGCGTTTGAACTGCTACAGTGAGATTATTCGTTTGCATGTAACTGACGACGTGAACACTCTCATAGGGTGTTTGTTATTCCATATATGAAATATTCAAACAGATACTATATCCAAATCGTGATCATGAACCCATTCCCTCCCCTTCATACTGTTGTTTGCGGACGATCGAATGAATGCCTTAGACGTAAACGAACGTTTCCCGCTTCTGTCTGTTGGACAAGTTTAATATAACGGGCCATTCGTTGTGTTCCTCTGTATCTCCGAGGTTATATAACAAAAAGCGGACACAGACATTGGGCTTCATTTGCATGGACTTTAATTTGTAATTGCATCACGATTTAAAAGCACGCACGTGCATTTCTGCCCTTGATCGGAAGAAAGTTGTACACTATTTAAAAGTGTCCGTAGCCTCTGAGAAAATTGCAATATTAAATTCGTTAGATCACACGAAGTGACCTGCATCGTTTGACAAGAGCCTACTTTCTCTTCTTATGAGTCACAGAGGACTCCTAAAGCCAAGAGGCATTTTGCTTCCCTATTGTAGCCAAAATTTGCCTTAAATGTCGAAACGAAAGACTACGATGGGACATCCGGATAAAAATGGCGGCAGAGACAGTAGTAACCATTTTCAGTTGTCAGTTGACAACAGCTGCAACGAACCCGCTATCACCATGTGTGAAACATATGTCCATATATTCAAACAATAGAACAACTAGCTGCCCTTGTAAAAGTTGGTTGAATGGTATCAAGCAGGAGTTTTACTTGAATACCTTCAACTGGAACAAGCCCAGGGACAGAAAAGGTTAAAGCGAAGTTCAGCTCTTCCTGTCGATCATGATCAGATGAAGGAGAAAAGTGGAAGTTGTGAAAGAAGATGGCAAAGTACACAACGCATGTTTGCAGGAACAGTATTTTGATTGAAGATAAGGTGTTGCAAGTTGATTTTCTGGAAAAGCACAGGGAAACACCTCTGAGGTCACTGCATGATCAGCTTTACACAAAATGCGGAAACCTCGCTCAGAACGTTTTCCCATGTTGTTTTCCCTGACGGTACTTGCCTTGCAATATCAAGCGTCCCCGTGGGAAAGTCAAATCAACAAGTGACTACTCCAAAATAAGAATATTCCTATACAAACGTCACTATAACGGAAATCTATACTTCAAATTTTTCACTTATCCTTCTTCTCAATTAATGCAGATCACCAATGCCTAATATCGATGCCTAGAATAGTCTGTCTTGTGCGGTTTGTCGCCAAAAACTTAAATATCTCTCTTTTGGCTTATCGTCCCGTTTGAGCCGAAGTCTTCGAATGGAGGGCTTGCAGTCCCTTGGGTATAAGTCCGTCATTGCTGAAGTCCATCGGTTATGGATCAGTCGTGCGACATGACCTGCCAATTGTCATTTTCTCTCTAGCGAATCTGATACAACCTCCTATGCGTCTGCTTATTTCTTCATCTCGCAGGTTATCCCTGATGGAAATTCTTACTATCCTCCTGTTCGTAACTCGCTGCTACACTATTAACAATTCATCCTTTACCGTTAACGACAAGATCTCATAACCATATGGCGATGTTGGCTATAACGTTATTTCCCACAATGCGGTATGCGGCTATAACCAACTGATAATTTTCAATTTTCACCTTTTTCATGCAACTGATAGGTTTCTGTTTTCAACAATGACCGTTTCTTTTGTACATTTTCCGCACAACACGACGCCTAATAAACGGCTCTGGACCAAAGCAGCGGTTTGATACGATCAGCTGTCCCAAGTAGACGTACTGGAGGAGGCCTTGTATTTGGTAATCAGTAATGATGACTGAATACGGTTGTATTTGTTCATAGTATTTAGTTAAACTATACGGATTACTGTAGAAAGTTGACAGCGCAACATCCACAGGGTCATGAATCATATTTACACTAGCATGAGAATGGCAATTATGATTGGTAGAGCGGATTCGAATTGGCTTCTTGCTGACGACAGAGTAGTACCAGCATCAATTCGTGAACGCGTTCTGTTTAGTTCGGTTTATTGACCGAACGGCTGTTACCGCAAAAAATTACACGATCTTCATATCAGATTAAATTACGGTGAAATCATCAGTCTGTGGTTGTGACAAGGACCTGTAAGCTTGGTTACTGTACAGATGAGGCTAATGAGTTTAAAATTTGTGTGAGAAAACGACATGAAAATGCGTCGGTCGTTTATGCTTTTTTTGAAGTACTGTCTCGTCAAATTAGAAGTAGATCCTGGCAAAAAAAATTGAGAATGATGACGTTTTGTTAATAACAACGCGAAAATTCAGAAGAACAGCCGCTTGCACTACTGTCATGCTCCAAGTACATCTGATCTGTTATCATTATATTCAACAGCCTGTTGCAATTCACTGCTGGAACAAAGCTATTAAACGATGATTGTATCCTTCGTCTCCTCTTTACATAATGACAACAAAATTTATGATATTTAATGCCTATTGTTCATTTTGCCTTCTCATTGAGTTGTTTCCTGTATTTCAAGCGATTGGCACTGGTTTCATTTTTTTTGGAATATGTTTTGTCTCATTATTCTATATGCCTGTATGACGAGTAATTTCGTGATTGCTATCCAGAATATCCATTTCCAAACGCAGTCGTTGGGTTCCTAACTTTCGTCTGCCTATAAATGGCAAGACTTCTTTTATGATATTCATTTATTTCGTTTAAGAATCATGTTAGGCTTTGAAACAGTTGTCATTCATTTGTTCATTCGTTATGCATCCGTTCTTTCATTCATACATTAATTTTTTGGTCATTCTTTCATTCAGTCTTCCATCTTCAATGCTGTTGTTCGTTTTGTGCCGTGGGCAGCAGTTTCAGATGAGCTCTTGCAGTCTCTTGAAGGCTTTGCCCTGATCAGGTTGACTCCACTCTACGTCTTCCGTCTCATAGTAGTAGCAGATGTTCGATATCGTCGAGCTGAGCCTTTTGTCGGCTGTCGTGATCTGTCATATGGCTGTATGACAGCATTTGATGAGCAATTCCGTTTACTTTTTTTATTACTTATTCGAAATGACTCATCGTAATCGTTCGAAATAACTAAGGAACGTTTCACAGGTGCGATGTTACTCAGATTACTGTAGCTGGTCAAGTTTCTTCTGTCCGGCGAAGTATGTCATTTCTTACGCTGATACCGAGGACTCTCTTACGGCTGATATTGAACAGCGCATATAACCATATATGAAGTGAGTATGTAAAAGATGCTTAAGAGCGTGCAGTTTTCGCTGCTGGTCACTGTTTCTTCATCGCCACAGAAATGAGAAATTCCCAGTGCTATCCTCACAAAACAGATTTTAATGTATGCGATCCGACTACGTTCTGTTTTTCGTCAAAAATATCCTATTTTCCATTTTTATGCAAACCTAGGTTTACCAACCTTCCTCTACTTCGAAGGTTAGAATAGTAGAATTGGCATGAGTTAAAAAAAATCTGTAGCAGTTCATGATTTATCGTGAATTACTGTATACCGCGTTTTCAGAGTACTACTAACGCTGCCACGCTGTACGACCTGGCGGCCGGAAATAGGTACGCCGTTCAGATCTGTGCCGTCTACAATGGGAGTAGCGAGAGCGACATTCAGTGGAACGTGGTCGCTTGGAAGGAGATGGACCTGACGAGCACGAAGACTATCGAGCCAGCCGAAGAAACGCCATACACCATTTTGCTCGGCGTCTTAATTCCACTGTCGATTTCGCTGACGGTGGCGGGCTTCGTCGTATGGACCGTGATACGGTGCAAACGGGAGCGCTTGAAGTCGTTGGCCGAACTGGCAGCCGGACAGTACAGAATAGTCAACGACGGAAGATACGTACTGATGCCGACGAGGACCGACCAATGGGAAACCCCGCGCTCAAAGCTGTTGATCTACGAGGATCAGAAACTGGGCTCTGGCGCCTTTGGTGCCGTCTACAAAGGTATGCAAAAAGACAGGCCATAGCTGAAGCGATTGTGCTACCCCAGTTGTTGCAGGAAAAATCGAAGGCCGCCTGTTGACTCATAAAGATGTAAATTCTGTTCTCGCTGAGAAATGGATCAAAAGCGAGAATTGCGACGTCGCGGTGAAAATGCTTCCCGGTGAGCCTGCTGTCATACAACGCTATTCCGTGCTTTTCATGACAGCTCATCTCTCTCTCTCTCTCAGACTTTCATGATGTGGCACAACACGGTCATATGTTGACTAGCATCCTGGGGTCATTTTGCCGACCCTCTGGACGTGGAACGATGTTGCGTAATTACCGTGTCCCACTTAGGCCTAGATTCGTAAAATACGCGGAGGAAACTGTGCATAGGTGATGCGCTGTGTGTCCTGTGAGATTCACCGTGCTCACTGAGGTGACATTTTATGTAACGCTCTGAGAGACAATATTACAAAACAAAAAAGTGAAGATTACCTGCAGAGGTATAGGAAATCCATCTCTACAGTTGTACTGGTGAGCCCAATAAATTGGAGCATAAATGTACACGAGCATATATTATTTACAGAGAATTTGCTCAATAAAATTGAGGTCTATGCATGTGTCGTAGTGTCCAGGCAACGACTAAACTGTATCATCTTGAGCCAGGGCCGAGTACAATTAAGTGTTTTCAGTTGTGCACCGACTACAGCGATCGTATAGCCTTTTTGCTAACTTTGAAACGACCCGCTAACAGGGCAGTAGCACTTGGGCTGCTAAGGATTCGTTTGATATGTAGGTATCTAGAGACACACTAGATAACAGGATGTGCCATCCATTGACCAGAGACTGAATGGAACAATCAAATCTTTTTATGGTTCTTTCTTTGAAGTTAACTACGGGTAGTGAAATACCGTATTATTAGTATTAATTCAGGGTATCAAAAAGCAATATTCTGACCAAAACTTCAAAATGTGTGCAAATTGAATACTCGCAGTATTTTCTCCTAAACGCATCGATGTGAAAGGCTTTCATCGCACCTTTACGCTTTGCACAGTCGATTATCATTGTGTATTATATATGAAATGGCCAAATAGGTTGTTTTCAGGTTTAAGTATTGAAAGACCGACTTCGAAATTTCTTCTGGTCTGTGCATGGAGTTTGCCTCAGTATGCTGAAGTTAAATCAGGCGAAGTTTGATGGCAAATAAATTATTCAGAAACACATAAGAATCAGAAATAGTTTGCTTAACCGAGCGCTTGCCAGGCCATACCTGTCGATTTTACTAAGTTGTGAAGCTTTAACCTGTACAAGTGATGGACAGGTCATTTCAGTACGCATCGAAAGGATAAACGCGCATAATTTT